GGGGTCTTGGGACTCTCTGATGTACAGCCGATTGGTTAGAAGCTTAAGTAACAACCGGGACTTGAGATTTCCATCTGAAGTGGGGCAGGGTCAGCGGGGAGGGGGTGGGCAGTGTCTTGGGACTGAGCCCTTCACCTGTGGGATTTCCAGGTGGATTGTGTCAGAATTGAGTTTAAATTGTAGGATGCCCAGCTGGTGTCCTGAGCAATGCTTGGTGGTGTTGGGCCGGGGGTGGGGGGACGGCCCCCTCTACATGTTGGAAATTGGTCTCAGACTCTTTTAACCCACTTCCACTAGGAAATCTACTCCATCTGTGCCAACAGAAGTAATTAGACCATGCTAGGCTAACATATAATGGTAACTGAAGAGTATGACCATGTGAGAGGAGTCAGGGCAGGGAGAGCTCCAAGATCCATCATAATTTCCCTTCTTTCGTGCCCCTGATTATCCAGGCCTGCAGTGGGATAAAACTAATACCATGCATAGCACTTCTAAAGCTTTTTCACAGTTTCTCATTCAAGCCTGTGAAGTAGACACGGGCCCCCAACATGCCCAGCAGCGGGGTCTCAGCACCTAGACAGCTGAGATGGTATCACCTGCTGCAAAGCGATGTTGTGAGGCTTAAGTGACGTCTCCCGCAAAGCACAGAAAACTTCAGGGCTGGTCCACGAGAAGCGTGCGATGCTCTGGGATCTGTTGTTTTGGAGATTGTAAGAGTGCCTTCTAAAGCCTCAGGGGCTGGGTTCAGACCCAAACTTCACCATAAATACTCCACTGTAGATGAATTTCCTAGTCCCCTCTGTGTTTCTGTTTCTTCGTCTGAAAAACGGGAAGAAAAAAAGTGGCCCACTCACAGGGTTATTTTGGGGAATAAATGTTTAACACATGTACAACCCTTTGAACATGGCCAGCCACTTAGCAAGAGCTCAATGACCATAACGTATTATTATTCCATTAAAAATTCTCAATCCCATCTAATTCAATGTCCCCTTTAAAAATAATAGACCTTATGTAATGCTCACTTTATTTTCTTGCCATTAAATTCATAGATAACATAAGCTTTCTGTGTGCATTACTTAAAAAAGAAAATCAACATGATGCCCTTATGCTGGAATGTAGGGGAGAAAAAGAAAAGGAAAGTCATGTATAACAAAATAATGTATACTTTAATATTTAAATAACTGTAGTAGAAGGCCTGGTGAAGTCATGATGTTTATTATAACTAATGAACAATTTTAGAATAACAGAATTAAGCCAATATTTAACTGAATATTGCCATCGCTTTTTTTTTTTTCGTATTTGACACTTTACTATTTTGCTTAATATGTTCCTATACAAAAACACACGTAGAATCCATGGGCATGCAATATCTAACAAATGCAGACTGAAGAAGATGCGCTACATTCATGGTACTACACCAATGGTGAGTGAAGCAATTTTATGCAATGATGAAACTTTCTCTGTAACGTTCTGAGCAGAACAAAGTACAATCTTTCCCTTGGTGTACACAGTAATTGCATCCGTGGACAATTCAAGATTATATTAAAATATGCAAAAAAATCTTGTGTTTCTATATAATACTAAATGCAATTAAAGCTCAGGTAACTGAAAACAGGTTTTTCAAACACATGAAGAGCCCACAGGACATACAAAAGACATTTAGGGTTTAAGACAATTCTTTGTGAGCTGTTGTCTCAAGAAAATGAGAATACCTAGCATTCCTACTGTGTGCTCACTGAAAGCCAGTAACAGTCCCAGTAAGGAGACAGGTAACAATCCCTCTCCAACCCCAAATTTCTCCAACGCCTTCTTGGGTGGGAGCCTTTTCCTGTAGGAGATCCACTATCACTTTGTGTCATTGCAAAACAACCCACGAGGTGGCAGCATCTACCAAAGATTTAGTATTTTTGACACCCTTAAACAGCGTCAAGAGCTTATTGGAAGTGAGCAGGGCTGAGACTGGAGGACCTCAAATTTATTTGTAATGTTTTATTTCTGTCACTACAAAAAGATAATAAAAAATATTGAAGATGAATGTGAATGAAGAAGACATGAAAATTTAATTTGTCCCTATCTTTACATGTATTTATTTTCCCAGTGGCTTAATACATTTTATTTTGTTCATTTTTTTTAATTGAAGTATCGTACATTTACAATGTTTCCTTACATTTATTTTTTTAAAGGCAAGTTTCCTTCCTAAAGGGTCAACAGAAAGATCTGGATAGGATATTGCTAAACCCTTCATCTGCTTCCATTCACAGAAAGAAGAAAAATTACAGCAGCTGGAGAATCAAGACTTCCATTAATGGTTACGAATAATGTACATCTTTGAATACCATGAGAATGTGCAGAAAAGAACAACACACCACATGGAGGAGGACAAGAAGAGAGTACAGAGAAGGCGGGGTTTGAGTCCATCTTTAATATCAGGTGGGAATGATACAGGTATATATTAAGAGGCAGTAATGAAAATGATGAATAACATGTTATTAAGCTTCATAGTTGACAGTATTCTTTCATGTATTTTGTTCAGGTTCATCTTCTCACACTGCTGCTCACCCTTAGCCGGAACTAGTCAGGGTGGTCTGCCAGCTGGTGACCATTACCTGTATTGAGAGATAGGAAGACATACAGATATTGAGATAAATTATTTAGAAATGTTGATAGAAATTTGACGATTTTCTATCTGTTGACTATAACAATAAACAATTTGGGCTTGTGCTTTGTATGTTTTTAAATTTCATTTTTACTGCATTTTACCAAAGTATCAGTCTTCAATGGGTTGAAAACACATGTACTCATGTGCGCACATGCACACGCACACACATCTGATCCTTGTCTACCAAAAGCTGGAGGAGCACTGGCCTCAGAGCACCAAACAGCCAGGAAGCACCCGGCAGGTGAGCCGGGAGAGCTGGGGGAGTGGGCGCATATTTCACAGTTTTCACCTGTGACAAGTGAGCTCATAAGGTTTTATTTAATCCTCCCAACAACCCAGGGGAATTGGTGGTATGATTTTGACTTTACAAAGGAGGGCAAAAATTTCAGAGAAGATAATGAATTTGCCCCACTAAAACCAGGAGCCAGGATCTGTTGGAATTTTCAGCCGTTCTGAGATCCTCTTGGATAAGTCACCACGTCAGCGCCCTTCTCTCATCTATCAATACCTCTAGATCACACTTTATTCTGGGACCAGTTGCTCCAGAGCTCACAGTTCTGGCATTGGTGCATACAAGTCCTCAGCAGGCAGTTCACTAATCTTTCCCTAAGTCTGGAAAAAGAGTCTGTCTTCTAACCCAACGGAGCATGGTCAAAAGAAAGGTTAAAACAATAACAGCACGCCAGCTCCCCATTTCCTGCCTGTTCACATCTACACCCACCCACACACAAAACCTTCTCATCAAGCATGAAAAATAAATTCTGTTCTCTCTCACTGGAGTAGTAGTGGTTATCAGGTATGTTCCTGACTTGACTTTTTCCCCCTTATGTTAAAGTGATTTTTTATCTTATTTTTTATTATAAGCTTTTATAACAAGTTTTTGTCATTAACTTTTTATCAGAAACTATTAAACAATGAAGTATTTTACAAGAAAGTATTTTTCTCGTTTACTTTTCAGATAAAGCTGCATGAATTCAAATGAAAACACGACTGGATTTAAAGGGAGAAGAACCAGAAGACAATCATATAGTGATATGATTTACAGTATGTAGCTAGAGCTTTTGTATGAAACTAAATGTTGATCGAACAATGGATAACTAGGAATATGTAACTTCTTTTCCATTCTACACTCTCATTATAAAACCAAAATGGGTATAAAGCTGCACTTTACTTTATTTTGAAGGCCCCCTAATAATCAAAAATTAATTAGAGATAACTTGAGAAAAAGTGTTTTATCTAGCATTAAAAACTCATAATGGAAAGTGTCTGGAAAAAATTTCTTCTCCTTTTACCCCTTCTTCCTCTTCTTAAAAGCAGTAACGATAATAAAAGAGAACAGCCATTGAACACATATCATGTACTTAGAAACTTCACCTAATGTTATTTTATTTAAGCTACACAGCATCCCTATAAGGTAGGAATTATTCCTAGTTTATCAACAGGAAATTCAGGCTCAGAGACATTAAGCAACTAGTACCAGGTTGCAAATTTTGTAAATAACAGACTCAGGATAGACCTGAGTGTTTGAGCGTGATGCCCAGGAAAACTCTTGACATTCTGTGTAATGATTATAGAATTAAAACACGAGCAACAGCTAGCTGTTAATCTCGTTAACTCTGGGAACTCTGTTTCTGTTAAGTGATTCTCATACTTCATGCAGAATGAGGGTCAATTTACCTCATCTCTGCAAGCCTGCTTCCTGACGTAAAAGGACAATACTCATTTTATGATTTGTTGCAATTAAACAAGGTAACTACTACCTGAAGCTTTAATGCAGCAGATGTCAACAAGTGGTAGCCACAATCATTTTTATTGTGTAAAGGTAGAAACGGGATTAAACATATTTAGTCGGGAAATTATAGATGTGGATCCCAGGTCTGTGTGATTCCCAGGCCAGCATTCTTTATTGATTACACTATAAGGTAAGCAAGCTGTCTTTGGTAAAACGGTTGGACGAGAAGAAGGCTTAATTTCTTCAAGCCCTGCAGTGACATCGTTTATTATTCACTATTCAGCTATATTATTTTTACTCTCTGGCACTTTGGGGCATAGACAGTATAATAAAAATGCCTCCACAGTTGTCCAGTAATCTCCCCGCCTGTCCCCGGCATCCCACAGCATGACATGAGCTCTGTGGGTAAAGTAAAGGGCGCTCAAGGAATTCGACCTCAACCAGCACAATTAGCTCAGAACCGGCGCCCGGCCCAGCTGTTGCTATTTTCCTCCCTAGGCCCCGCCCCCGACCACGCGGGGCTCCAGCCACGCCCCCAAGCTGGAGCTCTTGGGGCGGACTCGCGGAGAGCCTCAGCCTACTCACAGGGATTCCCTCTCCAGCCAATCGCGTCCGAGCTACTGGACTGACCCTAACAAAGATGGCGGGGGAGGCCTCAGTGAGGGCAGACTGATTTTTAACACCCGAACCCGCGGCGGACCGCGGAGACAGTGGTAGCGGCGCGGCCCCGACCATGGAGGAGGGCAGCAGCGCTGGCAGCGGTGGCAGCGGTGGCAGCGACAGCAGTACCAGCGGCAGTGGCGGCGCGCAGCAAAGGGAGCTGGAGCGCATGGCTGAGGTCCTGGTCACCGGGGAGCAGTTACGGTAAGACGAGGGGCAGTGCCAGGGGGCTCGAGTGGCACTGCCAGCCCGTGTCCGCAGCAGTGCCGCGCGCACGCGCGCGGGGACTCGTGGCTCGCGACTCGCGCGGGGCTCAGGGACGCCTGCGGATGCGTGGACCGTCCGCGCCGTGCCGCGGCTTAGCTGCTGCAGCCCGGCGCCCTGCGGACTCTGGACTGGCGCGGGGCTCCCGAGGCGGACGCGGGCGAGCGCGTGGTGCGTGCTGCGCCCTCGCCCCGCTGCTGCAGCCCTGCGCCCCGCGGACGCGCTGCTGTCGACCCCGCGCGCCTCTTCTGCCCGCCAGGCACCCGGGCGCTGACAGGCCTGCCGGCTGACAGCCTACTGTTAGTCCGCCCAGAGGGCGAGAGGGGCTGTGAGGGGCCCCAACCCCTTTACTCTTAGATAAAAGGAGCCAGCCCAACGATCACCTTCACTTAGATTTTCCTTTTTGCTGGCAAATTTTGCTTCAATATCCTGAGCCCTCAGTGTTTTCATCTGTAAAATGGAGCTGATCAAGGCGACTCCCTTGAAGGGTTGTCGTGGGGGTTGCTGAACTGAGAACATTTCTGACACTCTACCTATCACTTAATTGGCACATTAGCATCAATCATCATTTGGATCCGCAAGGGGGCGTGGAGGCACCTTGTCCCGCTGCCCTGCAGCTGTGCCAACTCCCCCAGCGCGCATATTCTGGGGAGCAGAGCCCATCCGCCCCAGGCTACTGCAAGAATTGGGGTTTGACGTGTCTCACTGCGTCCAGGACAGGCAGCGACCCCCAAATTCCCCCCCCCCCAATCATTCCTGTCCCATCGTGGTCCCTCCTGGATTCATGTTTGGGAATTGTATTAATGGTCTGACCGGTTCTGCAACTGACCGTCTTATGGTCATAAATCAGTTCGCCAGGGGGAAAAACCCTTGGCTCTCCAGGGTTTGAATCACAACTTGCATGCCGGCCCCTGGCCGCTTCAGAACGGCTAGCATGCCTTTTCCTTCTAGTTCTTGGCCTGAATCTCCAGGGTCATTTTGGTTTCTAAAATGCTGTTTCAGGACCCGAAGGAGGAAGACTCTTGCAAAGGATCCTTTAGGATCCCTAAAGGTTTGGTAACCACCCTGCTTGCTGCCCTTAGATTGAGAAAGTAAATATTGGATTGAGTTTAACGTTACAAAAGGGAATTTGCACGTTTCTATTCCTTGATGATTTTTTAAATGTATAGTCGAAATTAAAGGAAATAAAAACTTGTTTTCCATCAAGAGATTTTTTTTAACTGAAAAAAATCAAAATAAAGCTTTTCTAATTCAATCTAAAACTTTTAAATAATTTATTTGCTCCTTACTGTGTCATCTTTTTCAAAATCCTCAATTGAATATTTTCATTCCCTTTAAAATAATAAATTTCATGGTGCCTTTCTTTGTCCAGCAAGCACTTTCTCCTTCAGGATACTTAAATGCCCCTTCCCTGGGGGTCCCCAGAGTACTTGCTCCGACCCTCTTTCCTGGCATCCCTCTGCACTGCGCTTAGTGCGATGGTGAGAAGATAGGGTAGACAGACTTGGGTTTGAATTTCTGCTCAGCCACTTTGTTGTGAGTCAACATTAAGTTGTTTTGAGGAGGACATTAAAGTCAGAGTGAACTCAGGTTTGCTACTTACTAGTGTGGCACCTTGGACAAGCTACTTAACTAAGTATGATTGGTTAGTAATGGAACCTACCTCATAGTTTTGTGATGAGGATTAAATAGATGAGTTAGTGCTCAGGACAGTGCCTGGTATACAGTAAACACCACATCAGCCTTAGCTACTTCAGTTTTGTGACTTTGGGCAAGTTAATTCACTTCTCTGAGCCTCTGTTTCCTCATCTATAGAAAGGCAATGAAGATGAGCACTTTATAGGGTTGTTGTGAGGGTCCCCCCCTCTCCGGGGTTCAGGTATTAATGAGCATTCAATAAATGGTTGTTGGAATTAATTAGTATTACTGGTCTCTGTGTGTCACCACACCTGACTTCCAGCTGAGCAAGGTTGAGCAGTAAGGATGGGTTGATGGTTAAGAACCCAGGCTGCCTGGGTTCTTATTCTGCATCTGCCATTTATTAGTCCTGTGACTTTGGGACAGTTTACTTAACTTCTCTGTGCCTCAGTTCCACTTCTCTTGCAGGAATTTTGTGAGGATTAAATGAGGAGATGCTACATGTAAAAGGCTTAGTAAACTTTAATTTTATTTTGGAAAATTGTAATGATTGCTTTTTAAAAATCTCAACCATCTTAGTGCTGTGTTGAGCATATAGCAATTACTCAAATATTTGAATGACTAGTGTATGTAATTAAAAAAATGGTTGTAAATACAGAAAATATAATACTAGAATTTAGGGATTTAAGTGGCCATATACAGCCCTGGCTTCCTAGTTGCTGGAGGAACCTCTTATAAAGGAGTGGGGGTGCAGTCCTTGCTGTCACTGTCACAACGTGTTTTCACATCCCTTGCAGCTCTCTCAAGGCTGATTGTGGCTTTGTGATGTCCCGGTCTCCTGCCTGTAAGTGACACACACACACACACACACACACTCTCACACACTCACACAATTTCTCTCTGCCTTCTCTTTCTTTTCTACTACTTTCTGGGTCATCAAAGATGAGGCAGATGAAGGTGATGAGAAAAAGAGAAACCAGGATTGGGATTTAAAATACAAAATTTGGCTTCTGGGTCCATCTCTTTGAATTTTACTTATAATATTTATTTACCTATGTATATATGGATGTTGTATATATGGATGTATGTATGTATTTTTAACTACATTTGCTAGGGTGAGTCAGTTAGCCACTCTGGGTCTCAGTGCCCGTACCTGCAGAATGAGAATAATAATATCCTCCCATGTAAGATTTGTGGTGTTGGATCAAATGGGGTATGACATGGGAAGAAACTTGGTCAAATAAATCAATAAACCAAAAGTAATTGTTGTTAACTGATTATTATAAGCTCCAGATGGGAAATTGAGGGCTGGCTTCACAATCCTGGCACTTTGGTGAGGGCAGCTGGTTGCATAAGGATATGAAATTGAGTAACAGATTTAAAACATCTCCTGCTTCCTCTTCCAGCCTGACTGCAGGGTCCTTTTCCTAATCTCTTTCTGCTTCCCCTTGTCATAAGGGATTTCACTTCCTTGCCCAATGTTTTGTGTGGTTTTGCATCTTAAAAGTGCATTTGGATACCACTTCACACCCCCAGGATGGCTATCATCGAAAAGACAGATAACAACAAGTGTGGACAGGGATGTGGGGAAGTTGGAACCCTTCTATACTGCTGATGGAAAGGTAAAATGATTCAGTGCTTTGTTTCTTCTTTTTTTTTTTTTTAATAGAATTACTATTTTTTTTAAAGAGGGAAGTAATTAGGTTTATTTATTTATTTATTTACTTACTTATTTTTTTCAATAGAAGTACTGAGGACTGAATCCAGGACCTCGTGCATGCTAAGCGTGCACTCTACCACTGAGCTGTACCCTCCCCCAGTGCAGCCACTTTGGAAGGCATGCTGGCATTTCCTCAAAGACTAAACATAGAATTACCATATGACCCAGTCATTTTACTCCTGGGTGTGAATGTATATTCAAGAGAAATGAAAACATATGTCCGCATAAAAATGTGTACACAGATTTTCAGAGCAGCATTTTTTCATTATAGCCAAAAACAGAAGAAACCACTCAAATGTCCATCATCTGATGAATGGATAAGTAATATGTGGTGTATCTGCTTCAGGAAGTATTATTCAGCAATAAAAAGGAGTCAGATATGGATATATGCTACAACATGGCTGAATCTTGAAAACGTTTTGCTAAGTGAGAGGAGACAGACATGAAAGGACACATACTGTACGATTCTGTTTGTATAAGATGTCCAGAACACGCAGATCTGGAAGGATAGAAGGTGGTTGCCAGAAGCAGTAGGGAGGGGGAATGGAGAGTGATTGCCAGTGGGTATAGTTTCCTTTGGGGCTGATGAGAATGTTCTAAACTTGATTGTGGTGATGATTTCATAACTCTGTGGATATGCTTAAAACCATTGAATTATACACATTAAGTGGATGAATTGTATATGTGATTTATATCTCAAGAAAACTATTACAAAAATGCATTTGTGTGACATAAGAGTGATGGAAAACAAAATATTCAAAATTTTAAAATAATTTTTTTTGCTTCCTTTTTGGATTAGCCAAAGAATGCAATGATATTTATCATTAACTCAATGACGCATTACTGCCACACCAGATGGGACTGACATTTTACATGTATCTTTTTATAGTATTATTCTTGATATAAAACAGAGAAAATATGCCTTCAATAGTCAAGGAAATTGTCTCAGAACATCCCTAATGTGAAGGTAATTCACCATGTATAAATCACTCATATTAGTGGGGTTTGGTAGTATGACTTTTCACTAGTTATTTTTATGTTTTATATATAAATCTTTTATTTTGAAATTTGCCATGCAGTCATAACTATGACACTCTAATTATAATATCCAGAATCCACCTTATACTTCTTCTGTAGGCTAATCTCAGAAATACTTAGCAAAAGGTGGTTTGTAATGAGCATTTAAATAAAGAAGGCAAGAATATCACTATTTTCTCTATGGGAATGGTAGATATGATAATAGTAACAATCACAATGATATGGTGTTTATTACCTGCCAAGGACTGTTCCAAGTGCTTATATAGAGTTACTAAATATACATTAATATATGTTATCAAAAAATATATATATATATATACATGACTTTAAGCTTTATAGCGATGCTATGTAGAAGATACACTTAATATCTCCATTTTACAGGTGAGAAGACTAAGGAACAGAGAATGTGAGCTAACTGGCTATAGACGATTCAGCCAGAAAGTTGTAGAACTGAGAGTTCTTGCTCTTAAGCAGGATGCTAGATTTACCTGTGATTTAACTGTGTCTTCAATGAGTAACTTAGAGAGTGAAGAAGTGTCACGAT